GAGGGGGAAGGGGCAGCTCTCTGCATGAACTTTCAGTAAACAAAGCCTGCAAAAGTAGCCAGCTGACAGTAGGCGGCTGATGAGTTGCTCCTGAAATATGGCAGATAGTGGTTCACAAAGCTCACCTCCTGACCCAACCACAGGGCAAGACTACAACAGAGTTACTGCTTATACCAACATCAGTACTGGATGCTGAAGGAGTAACATCAGAACTACTAAGACTGAAATTCTATTGTTCCAGAACCTGGAATTTTTTTTCCTCTTTTCTCTTTCTCTCTAAGTGTTTGTCTTCTTCGCTGTCTGTTAGTCCACCATCTCTCCCTGTTGAATTCTTTGTTTCTCTTTTTTTTCTTTTCCTTTTTCTCTTTCTTTATTGGTTTCATTAATTTTACTATTGTACGTTAGCTAATACTAAATAACACACAGACCAGGGACATAAAAAACACCAAGTGGAATGATGGGAAGACAAAAAAGGGATGGAAAACCATTTTCTCCCCCAAAATAAATTAGTATAGGATTCAGAGGGAAATAAATGGACACCCAGTTACAGACCCGAACAAAACAAAGATAGATTATCCCAAGGAACCCAATGAAGCCCACAAAAACACCCTGAAAGAAGAAATCACTCAGAATTTCATGGAGATGTTACTACACAAGGTCAACCAAAATGTACAGGGAGGCACTCAAGAAATTCCAAGACAACAAAAATAAATAATATGAGAAGGCAAAAAAACAAATAAGTGAAATCATAGGAGCCCTAAATAAATACCAAAGAGAAACAGAGAACACCATAAACAGAGATAAATGAATTAAGGATGAAAATTGACAATATTAAAGAGGAAGTGATTCATGATATGGAAACTTCAGAAAAAAGAATGAAACAGAGATGCTAAACACAATGGAAGGCCACTCCAGCAGACTAGAAGGAGCAGAAGACAGAATCTCAGAACTTGAAGATGAAATGGAAATTAAAGAAAAAACTAAAGAACTATTACTCAAACAGCTCAAGTCCTGTGCAAAGAATATGCAAGAATTCATTGATCTTTCTCCATCGAAAGATCAAACCTGAGAATCATGAGTATTGAAGAAGGAGAAGAGGTGCAAGAAAATGGAAAATGTAATGTATTTAATAAAATAATAACAGAAAATTTCCCAAATCTAGAGAAAACTATGCCCAATCAGGTACAGGATGCCTCCAGGACACCAAACAGACTTGACCAATATAGAACTACTTCATGACATATTATCACTAAAATAACAAGGACAGAGAATAGAGAAACAATATTGAAGGCTGTAAGAGAGAAAAAACAAGTAACATACAAAGGTAAACCCATCAAAATCACAGCAGATTTCTCAATGGAAACCTTAAAAGAGAGAAGAGTATGGAGTGAGGTATTCCAGGCACTGAATGAAAATAACTTCAAGCCTAGGATACTCTACCCAGGAAAACTATCATTCAAAATAGATGGAGCAATAAAAGTCTTCCATGATAAGCAGAAACTAAAACAATATATGACCACCAAGACACCACTCCAAAAGATTCTTCAAGGAATCTTGCACACAGAAAATGAAAGCATACAAAACAATGAAAGTACCAAACCACAGGACAAGAAAAGGCAAGAAAGTAGAGAGTAACATTGATTTAACTGCACACAATCAAACCCTTAAACAACAAAGACAACTAAATGACAGAAATCACCTCATACCTATCAATATTAACACTGAATGTTAATGGACTTAATTCCCCCATCAAAATACACTGTTTGACAAACTGAATTAAAAAGGAAGATTCAAAAATCTGTTGCTTACAGAAGACCCATCTCATCAACAGAAACCAGCACTGGCTTAGTGTGAAAGGCTGGAAGAAGATATACCAAGACAATGGCTCCCCAAAACATGCAGAAGTAGCAATAGTTATCTCGGACAAAGTAGACTTCAAACATAGATTGATCAAATGAGATAAATGAGGACATTTCATACTAATAAAAGGGGAAATACACAAAAGGAAATAACAATTATCAACTTATATGCACCCAACATCAATGTACCCAATTTCATCAAACATACTCTGAAGGACCTAAAAACATATATAAACTCTGACACAGTGGTAGTGGGAGACTTTAACACCCCCTTATCACCAATAGATGGTCATTGAAACAAAAAATCAATAAAGAAATCCTAGATCTAAATCAACCATAGATCAAATGGACCTAGTTGATGTCTCCAGAATATTTCATCCAACTTCTGCACAATATACATTATTCTCAGAAGAATATACATTCTTCTCCAAAATTGATCATATATTACGGCACAAAGTGAACCTCAGCAAATATAAGAAAATAGAAATAATCCCATGCATTCTATCTGATCACAATGGATTAATATTAGAATGCAACAACAAAAACAACAGTAAAAAACATGCAAACAATTGGAAGCTGAACAATACATTGCTCAATGATCATTGATGAAATAAAAGAGGAAATTAAAAGTTTCCTGGAAGTTAATGAAAATAAAAACACAACCTACTGGAACCTATGGGACACAGTAAAGGCAGTCCTTCGAGGAAAGTTTATAGCCATGAGTGCATATATTAAAAGGACAGAAGATCTCAAATCAATGACCTAATGCTATATCTCAACCTCCTAGAAAAACAAGAACAAGCAAATCTCAAAACAAGCAGAAGGAAAGAAATAATAAAAATAAGGGCTGAAATCAATAAAATAGAAACAAAAAAAATACAAAGAATCAATGAAACAAAAAGTTGATTCTTTGAAAAATAAACAAGATAGACAGACCCCTGGCAAACCTGACTAAAATGAGAAGAAAAATTTGGAGGCTTCTTAAAAATCTAAACATAGATCTGCCATATGATCCAGCAATCCCACTCCTGGGGATATACTCAAAGGAATGCGACTCAGGTTACTCCAGGGCACCTGCACACCCATGTTTATTGAAGCACTATTCATAATAGCCAAGTTATGGAAAGAGTCAAGATGCCCTTCTACTGATGAATGGATTAAGAAAATGTGGTATTTGTACACAACGGAATTTTACCTAGCCATGAAGAAGAATGAAATCCTATAATTCGCAAGTAAATGGATGGAAGTCGAGAACATCATTCTGAGCGAGGTTAGCCAGGCTCAGAAGACCAAAAATTGTATGTTCTCCCTCATATGCAGACCTTAGATCTATGGAAAATGCAGCAATGTGGTTGGACTTGGGTCACATGATAATGGGAGAACACATGCAAGAGGTATGGGGATAGGTAAGAAACCCAAAACATGAAAGTATTTGATGTCCCCACTGTAGAGGAACTAATACAGAAACCTTAAAGTGACAGAAGTCAATATGAGAAGGGGATCAGGAACTAGTGAAAAGGTCAGTTAGAGATGAATCAACTTGGGATGTAACACATTTGTACATGGAAGCAATGTTAGGAATCTCTCTGTATAGCTATCCCTATCTCAACTAGTCAAAACACTTTGTCTTTCTTATTATTGCTTATACTTTCTCTTCAACAAAATTAGAGATAAGGGCATAACAGGTTCTGCCTGGAAGCAAGGAGGGGTGGGAGGTAGAGGGAGATGGCTGGGGTAGGGGGGAGAAATGGCCCAAACAGTGTATGCACATGTGAATAAATGAATAAAAAACCCATCAAACATCTGGGATTAAATACAATAAATCATGTGTAGGACCTCTGGGCTGAAAAGTACAAAATATTATTAAAAACTTCAATAAAAAAGACCTAAGTAAGTGAAGAGATATATCTTGTTCACAGAATAGATAACTTAGTATTGCAAAGATGATAATTAATCTACAAATTCAACAACTTCTCAATCAATACCTTTGCAGGTTCCTATAAAAACTGACAAGATAATTCTCTATTTCATTCAAAGAACCAAAAATAGCCAAGGTAATACTGAAAAGGATGAATAAATTTGGAGGGTTTACATTACTACAGGCAAAATTTTTAATTAAAATGAATGTATATGCACATACAATTAAATATCACTTAGTCATAAAATGGAGTAAAGTTCTGGCATATGATCCAACATGAAAGAAACCTAAAAACATTATGTTAAGTGAACTAAGCTAGGCACAATGAGACAAATATTGCATGGTTCTGCTTATCTGAAATATCTAAAATATGCAAATTCATGAAGACAGATAGTAGATTTCAAGGTCACAGAGTCTGAGAAAAGCAGAGACAGGAAACTATTTCTTAATGGCTAGTTTCTGTCTGGGTGATAGAAATTTTTGGAAATAGATGGTGATGATAGTTATAATCGCTGCCACTGTACTATACATTTAAAATGTTTATGGTGATAAATTTGATGCTACATGTACTTTCAATAATTAAAAAATAAAGTAATATACCAAAACCATTGAACTGTACATTTTAAGTGGGTGAATTTAATGGTATGTGATTCATATCTCAGTAAGCCTGCTAAAAAAGGCCAAAAATGGTTGCAATTAAGCCACTTTGGTACTGGTTGAAGGAGAGACCTAGTCAAATGGGAACATGTTCTTACATACGCATTCACTTGATTTATGATCAGGGTGCCACAGCTCTACAATGGGGAAATTATTTCCTTTCAATAAATGGTACTGGAGTAATGGATGTTTCTTTTCATTATAAATTCATAAATACCACTTGTTTTTAAAGAATGTGGATTAATTTGATAAACACATTAATATTAAAATTAAAAAGTATTCTTCATAGAAAGTCAAAGGCTCACAAGTTAAGTCAGTAGATAAAGCAAGAATTCTTGATTAAGTCTATACTTCAGGTAAAAGTAATTAGGATTTATTATACTTATATTAAACCACCTCCATCTTACTTAAATACTGTTAAATACATTGACCACCAAATTAATGATTTCATCATCTTTCAGTCTAATTCTATAGAATTATGCAAAGAAATTACTGGTACATATTTGGCATTTGGCCATTAACATAAAATGTACAGTGAAATAAAATGGCCAATTAATAAAACAAAACAAAACAATGATCCACATACCAGCTTCTTCCCAATAAAGCACTCAGAAAACAAAACAAATATAAACACTTGCAACATTTAACACATGTGACAGAGAAGATGGTTAATGTCTAACCTTTATCCACTGGAGATTTGTCTGTTTGAGCTTATTTTCAAGTTTATCTTGCTCTTCTGGGCTTATGGGAGCACTTACAAGTGCTGTTCTTCCAGTTTCATTTAATTGTTTTAGAATTCCCTGGCGCAAGGGCAACTCTTCCGTCAGTAACTGAAACAGACAAATGCACCAAGTTTAAAATGAATTATAGACAATTCCAACTACCTTGTCTTCACCTCTATTGATTAGTTTATAAAAATGAAGAATATTGACCGAAGGCCCACTGGTACCTCAAATACCAAATACCTCTACAGAGCAGATGGCTGATGGACTGAAAATGCCCAATCTCAAATAGATAATCTTTCCTACAAGTAACCAGGTTACTTTACCCCTCCAAGATATTTTTAAGACAAAATGCTATATGGTATGATGAACTCTACAACACAGCCATTCTGAAAACATATTTATCAGAAATAGAACAGTTTGAATAAATTCATCATCCTCTCAGGCACTACACCATGCTGTAGCATACATAGCATGCTACTGAATAAAAAACTATACTGTCAATATATAGAGTAACAGGAACTGGACTAAGTTCTTCACATATAATACCTCAGTTTATCTCCATATGATAATCATTATTTGAATTAGTTCCTATTATCTCTATTTTATAAAGAAGGAAAATAAGACAGAGAGGTTAAATAATCAGCTCCAATGACACAAAACTAGCCAGCAACAGAGGGGTGATTCAAACTTGGGACGCTTCATTCTGAAATCCTAATTTTTTACTCTTCCACATACTTGAATTTCTTTTCCATTCAGCATCTTATTATTTATACCTTTTCCCAAGATCTATAAAACAACCTTGGTGTTAATAACTATGTTTTATTTATTTAGAACTGAATTGTCCAAGATAGTAGCCACCTTCTACATGATTCTATTTACATTTAAGATAATTAAAATTTAATAAAATTCTCCTCACTTTCTCAATTACACTAGCCACTTTTGAAAAGGCACATATGGTTAGTGGCTACAGAAATGGATAATGCAGAACATTTCTGTCATCATAGAAATTTCTATTGGAAAACGTTTGCCTCAATTTTCTAAGGAGAAAAGAAAATCAATGCACGTTTATTAATAAGTTAATACTGCTAAAATAAGTCTACAAAATGAGTTATCAATGTATGTCATTACATCTGACAATACATTGGGAAGATGAATTTCCAAAAGCATATTGAGTTCGTTCTTCCAAGGTATAACCATCTTTAAATAGTTCAAAAACTTTCAATTCTTTGAATCTCAAATACTTAATATATGTCTAATATACAGTAAGTGATCAATATGTATTTACTGAATTAGGTGATATTTTTATTTTATAGGTTATTCCCTGGTAGGGTGTAAATTTCTTGTTTCACAGAAATAAATTTTGACTTGGACTTTAATTAGTATGTGTAAACCAACTGAATCACTGATAAATAACTAAGTTCATTTCTCTTTGATTTTGCAACCTTGAAAAATGAGGATAATAGCAACCAGTTGGAAAGTTTTATATGAAGATTAAATAAAATAGTTATAAATTTATTAGTATTTGGTACATAATAGGGGATGATTAACTGTTAATTTCACTTCTCCTTTCACCTTTCCCTCAACAATTAAAATCAACCAGATCAAAAAGAGTTTCATACTCAAAATTAAAAATTAAAATTCTTCCAATAATATAATCAGAGCATGTCAGTCAGTCAGCTGAGGTAATTGGTAATAAGTAGACATCACAGAAGGAATGTACTAAAAGTTACCTGAAAACAATAGGTGTTTATTCAACCAGTATACAGTATGAACCAATGTCATGCCCCTCCCCAAAATAAAACAAGCCAAAACAAAAAAATTGCTTTCAGTGAATCTAATGCCTTTAATCAGAGGTTGAAAAAGCATTACTGATTTGGAAATTAAGATATGTCCTAAAAAATGAGACTCTTCTTTTTATAATCTCCCCAAATTTTCATGTGAACAGCTTAAGACAAATTGAGTGATTCTGACTTATATTTAGATTTTATGATTCCACACTCTGTTCTTCGGTTTTTGAAGTTACTTGAAACTATGGATTTCTCAAATAAGTCTAAAATTAAATTTAAGTTAGTTTAAAAAGTAACTGCCACACATTGTGTATATATATGTATAGGTGTAATATACAGGCAATGTATACATCTATACATACATACACCTATGTATATGTATGCTATTTGGGAGACATTGGTTTAAGACAAAATAAAGCTGTGAGAAAAACATTTTAGTAAGGATCTATAAATAGCATAATGGGCAGGAAATCAATTATTAAATACATTTAAAAGTAGATTTATATGTTCTTTATACAATTAGGCCCTCAGGATTTTAGAAATCAAAATTACCTTGACTTGTTCAAGCTTTTCTTTTAGCTGCTGCTCATTTCTAAGTTCAAGTGGAATACTAGCAATGTTATCTGCTTCTTCCAACCATAAGACAAATTCATTTAAATCTCTTTGAAATTCTGACAAGATATTCTTTTGTTCTTCTAGCCTGGAGAAAAATGAATGAAATTGTTATAAATGACATATTTTTCAAACTTTTAATACAAGCATGAACATAGAATTTTTAAGCCTATTGAAATCACCATAAGAAAGGAACTAAGAGTGGAATGGCAGTCTACTTTCAATATTTTGAGGTGCCTCCATACTGTTTTCCATAGTGGTTGTACTAATTTACATTCCTATCAGGAATGTATGAGGGTTCCTTTTTCCCCACATCCTCTCCAACATTTGTTGTTCATTTTCTTCATGGTAGTTATTCTAACTGAGGTGAAATCATAGCGTGGTATTGATTTGCATTTCATTTATGACAAAAAATATTGAGCATTTGTTTTCTCTTCTATGTGGAATTTAGACATAATACAAGAACAGTAATATTATGAAAAACAGGTCATGCTAAGGGGAGGTCTCATATGAGAAGGGGAGGATAAAAGAAGGAACTTCAGAAGGTGAATACAGAATTTTTAAATCTGTTGAAACCACCATAAGAAGGGGACTAGGTAGAAAGAAGAAAAACAAAGATGAACCAATTCAGGTTATAATACAGATATACATGGAAATGTCACAATGAAACACCTGGTATAGCTATCTTAAACAAACATATCATTTTTGTTTTTACAAAAACAGAACAGAAAGGCAAAACAGGTCCTTCCTGGAAGATGGGTACCACTGGGAGGAGAGGGGATACAAGAAAAGGGAAGGTGAATATGGTGGAAATATTCTGTATATATGCATTTAAAAGGAAAAATTGAGACCTGTTGATCCTATTCCAGGAATGGAGAGAGTGGGGATAAAGGAGAATGATGGAGGAGGTGAATTCAACAATGATATATTGTAAGAAATTTTGTAAATGTCATAATGTACTCCCAGTACAATAATAATAAAATAAACAATTAAAAAACAAACTGAAAAAACATGGCAGGCACTTTTAAAAATAAGCAATCTAAAATATTTTACAATACATAATTTATTTTAAGCAAATTAATTTCAGTATTTCCAAAATATCTGAAAGATAAGAGATTCAAATTAGTCATGAAAGTAGTTTTAAAAATTCTAACATGTTATTAAATTAGAGCAAGGCTTCTCTACCTACACTACTGACATTCAATTTCAATAGTTCTTTGTTGTGAGGGGCTGTCCTGTGTAGTGTAGAATGTTTAGCAGAATTTCTGTTCTGTATAGTTGCCAGTGCCAACTCCCCTTTTACCCAAGTTGTGACAACCCAAAATTTATTGAGGTATTGCCTATTATCCTACCTGAGGAGGGTCAAAATTGTCCCTTTTGGGGTACCTTTACAGTAGATTAAGTGTATAATATTAAGTTGCATATTTTAAAATGCCAATGCATACTTTGTATAAAATTAGGGGACAAAAGCAAAAACAATGTTTTAAAATAAAAACACTAAGTGATTACATGATAGAATGTTTTCCAAATTATGACATAATTTTTTTGAAGAAAAGTAAGAATTGATTTACAATACCTAACATATGTTGGACTAGTGGAAGATTTTTAAAATTTTTTTTTTATTATTCATTTAATCACATGTGCGTACACTGTTTGGGTCATTTCTTCCCCTTACCTCATCCCCCATCCTCTTTCCCCCTCCCTCCCTCACTTCCAGACAGAACCTGTTATGCCCTTATCTCTAATTTTGTTGAAGAGAAGACAAGCAATAATAAGAAAGACAAAGCACTTTTGCTAGTTGAGATAAGAATAGCTATACAGAGAGATTCCTAGCATTGCTTTCATGTACAAATGTGTTACAACCCAGGTTGATTCATCTCTACCTGATCTTTTCACTAGTTCCTGATCCCATTCTCATATTGACCTCTGTCGCTTTAAGGATCAAATACTTTCATGTTTTGGGTTTCTTATCTATCCCCATACCTCCCGCATGTGCTCTCCCCTTATCATGTGACCCAAGTCCAACCACATTGTTGTATTTGCCCTAGATCTAAAATCCACATGAGGGAGAACATACAATTTTTGGTCTTCTGAGCCTGGCTAACCTCGCTCAGAATGATGTTCTCGACTTCCATCCATTCACTTGAGAATGATAAGATTTCATTCTTCTTCATGGCTGAGTAAAATTTCATTGTATATAAATACCATTTTCTTAATCCATTTGTCAGTAGTGGGGCATCATGGCTGTTTCCATAGCTTAGCTATTGTGAATAGTGCAGCAATAAACATGGGTGTGCAGGTGTAAGTTAAAAATTGGTTGAAGTATTGCTAAAACATCTTCATATTTAGAGCCTGAATCTCCTATAGTCTTTTCTTTTGGGAGCATTGGGGACATTGAAAACTGCTAGTAGAACTACTGCTACTGTTGCTTCTCTTTAAAACTAATGGGGGAAGTTACTGGTCTCAGTTGATGGTTTTCAGATGTGGGATAGCATTATTTCCACTAAGCTTCTGGACTTAGAAGCAACACTGGAAGAGAAAAAAAATTCTACAACAAACAATTTTTATTCGTGAAACAGTATTGATGATGAAGCATTTCTTGAATGTTCTAAGATGATTCAACACCTTAGGTCTAGATTTTAAGAGCCTATCTCATCTTTCTTAACTATTCTTTGTGCAAGTTTTCGTGTCCATGAGTATTTGACTCTAGATCATCTTGTTCAGCGTTGTAAATATTTTTAGATAAGCAAAAGCTCTCTAAAATCTGATTGTAAAGCTGAACAAACTTGCAAGATTCAATTTTCATCTTGAAATAGGTAATTTTGAATTTTGGTGAGGAAAAAAACCTCAAAACCCAAAACCAAACAAAAAAAACTTGAAGGACAGAAAAGAGTAATATCAAACCAAATTAATAATAATAAATAATAATAACAAGCCCTAAGTGTAGAATAAAGTTCCAAAAGTAAATACCTCCCACTTCAAATATGTTTCAAATTATTTACTTGCATATTTTTCCTCTTAGAAGTATTCAGCCAAGAAAAAGAGGAGGATATTACTTATTCATTATAATTGAGATTCATACATTTAATTGGGATTAAACCCTATAAACAGTCTGTACCTATTTTCTCATTTAATATAAAATGAATTTTATATATAAAATAAGTTATTAATTAATTACTCTGAAAATGGATTTTTAAGATCTGAGTAATAAACTATATATGGGTACAGCATATTTTACCATTCTTGTGTTATTAGGCATTTAGTTTGGTTCCAATTTTCATTATAATAAGTAGCATTCTAACAAACACATTTGTTTATGTATTTTGGCTTACATTTCTGCTAAGTTCCTTTGAATGAGGAAGAATAAGAATCCTAAGGATTTAGGTACACATTGCTAAGTTTCTTTGCAATGCTGGTATTACGAAAATGTATAAATTCCTACCAACAATTAAAAAACACTAGCCTCACCACACTTTACTACTATTGAGTACCACATTTTATATACTTGATAGAAAAAAGTTTGTAACAGATATTTTATGAATATGAGAAAGAATGTTGAAAAAGTTATATGTGTTTGCATTTTGTTGATTGTAAATTGTTTCCTATGTCTATTGCTCATTTTTGTCAGTGTTTTTTTATTTATTTGTAAAAACTCTTTTCAGATTTTGTATAAAAAATACTTAGTGAGAATATTTTTCCAGGCTTCATTTTGTTTTTTAGTTTTGTTTCTGGATATGTTTGTTTCTAAACAAAAAAATCAAACAGTTTATTTCTTTCTTATTTCCTTCATTGATATCATTCTTAAAATTGTGTGTATTCTATAATTGTGTAGATACTTACCTTTATTCTTGGTCCCTTTATCTTCATTAAAATCACTAAATTTTTAATTCATTTTAAATTTATATAGAATTAAGTTTCTGATCTTAAAGTGCTTTTCAGAAATTGATATTTCCTCCCTGCACAACCTGTTCTCTACTGATTTGCGCTACTTTCTTTATTAGTTTTTAAAGTTTCGTATTACCAAGGTTTTATGTTGATCTGCTATAGATTTTTGGGACAGTGACTCACTGCTTTATTTTTTGAAGATTTAAAGTATGTTCAGATTACCCCCGCTTCCACTTTAGGTATTCTAATTATGTATCATTTGGTCAAATTATAAAATAGGTGTCACTTTGGATTTTGATTGAGATTGCATTACATCAATGAATAAATTTGTGAAGAATTATTATCTTTCCAATATGATTCTGCTAAATTTCCAGTGATCACACTGGGGACACCAAAAGAATTTGGGACTCATCTGTGCACTATAAATAACTAAGTGCATTGTATAATTAACCTTCAGCATCAATTTGAAAGGCAGAAACTTGCAGATAATTTTATGGACATTAATTGTATACTAATTTAGAAGACTCTTAAGAATACCCATATAGAATAAGTCATCTTTTTAAAAGTAAAAGCTTTGGTTATGCTCTTTCCTATGGTCTTTCATTTTACAAAATGCATAAAACTTGTGTCTGATTATTTAATTTTTAAAAGTACAGCATCTTCTAAAATACAAAAATATTTGGTAGTCATTTCTTGTGTAGATTTGTTTTTTATAGTTTGAAATGTAAAAAAATATGGTGCCAAAATCCCACCAGGACCTTGTTACAATCTGCTTTTCTAAGCACATGTGTTTTCTGAAATTTCAAAAGCCTCAATTTGAAGTTTGAAAAGCTGCAATTTGAATTTATGTATTCAGATGATTGCAGAAAAGCAAAGGAACACAGTTAGCATTTCCAGGCTTGTCTCTTGACAGAACAGTTTAAATGTGCTTTATATTGGCATTCATCATATGAAGTGTTATTTCTTTGTTTACCTACGTGCTTAATGCTTATGGTAGGATTTATTCAGGCATGTGGTAGTAATAACAATGAATGGGATATTTAACATTATCCATCTGCAATTATGTGTTAAATATTTTACTTTTACAGGCTTTTCAATATATCTAGTTTTTTTTTAAAAAATGACTTCTGTTTGAAATATTGGCTCAGTTATCATTTACATTATAAATGCTCCTAACGCAGTTGAAGGAAGCATGTATTATGA